ACAAAAAAAAAAAAAAAAGATTAAAATGCATAACTGGCCCAACAAATGATCAGTATGTGTCAGCCATTATTAGCAGCAGCAGCATGATTTCACAATTACGCAATGTCCCAGGATCTAGAAAGCCACTGAGGGGTTTCTTTCCCAAGATGTTTTTTCATATTTATAATTTTTCTTTTACTTATATTGCACGTTTTCATATAAATCTATATGCTGGTTTTTATCTCACATTTTACCACATAAGTATATAAAATATCAAATATAAAATACCAAAATACCATATTTTTAAGATACTAATTATATAACCAAATCTTAGTGATTTTCCTGGTAGTAAGCATGGACAGTTTTTCTTTATAGTTATATTTAATAAACATGTATTTATAATAAAAAGCTTTAATATATTTGCTCCTGTGAAACATTCAAATACATGTTTTAAATTTATAAGCCAAACTAGTTATCTCCTGGGGGTGGGACTACGAGTGGTTTCTTTCTTTTCTTTTTTTTTTTTTTTCTCCTTTTGGTACATGTTAGCTTTTTCTAAAAGTTTTATGGTAAGCATGTGTTGCATGGTGGACAGAAACATGCCAGGTATTAGTGTTATATATTTTACTTAGTGCATATACTTTTCTTCATCAACGGTGAATGTTTATATTGTTTTCCTTGGAAGTGGACAGGCCACAGATTGCTCTCCTGACCCCAGCAATGTCCGAGTGTCTTCGCCATATGTTCTCGCCCACAGCGAGAGATATCTGAGCCTCTAGTAACAGAGATATAAATTGGTGGTGGGGTTCTTATAGTGCATTTCTTTACCAGACAGTTGGCTTTTCAGAGGAAAATAGATGCCCATTTTGCAGGTGCAGGAAGCAGGACTGCTTCACCACAGCAGCCATGGTGTCCTCTCCCTGCGCTTTATAGTTCTGGTTCCCACCTCGACCCATGAAGTAACCCTTTGGTTTCTCCCTTACCCCAGCTCCATGTCTGTGACAAGCTTGGAGGCTGAGTTGCAAGCCAAGATCCAAGAGAGTCAACCTGAATTACGACGTGTGTACTTCAACAAGGGATTGTGAAGTAAAGGAAGACACCTGGATGACTAATCCTGCCAACTGCAAACCTGGCAAAGCCACGTCCACGAGGAAAATCCTGTTTGATCTGGGTTCTCCCAGTTTTTAAAAAAAAAAAACCTTTCGGAGATTCACATTAGCCTTTTAGAATAAAGCTGCTACTTATAACGCAGCACCTGGTGCGGGCCAGGTGCCTGGTACCTGTTGGCTCCCTTACATTGGAATCATGTTGTGATTTTCAGTAATATCCTTTTCTGCAGCTTTTATGGTAACTGTTTTTCAAAGACAATATCCCATCCCTAGGCCAGGGATTTAAAAAGCACTTCTCGGTATAGAGTAGGTACTCAGCATATATACTCCTCAGTGAATATCTATTGATCGTCAGTCAGTGAAAAGGTAATCTGCTCAAAGTAATGAAGCTCATTCCTACTTCTACTTCAGATCAAGGAGGTCTCAGCAGTGAATTGGGGAAATGTAAAAGGCCCTGGGACCAAATGTAAAAATTTAAATACCAAGGGAACTTGCTTCAAGTTCATGCTGTGAGCAAACCCAAAGAAGAAGCTAGAGGTTTGGTTTGGTAGAATGAAAGCTCCTTCATGTCCTGGAAGCCACAATCCTAAACCAATGCCTTGTGCCTTCCCTGCTAATGAGGCTTGTTGGTGGATTTTCCTGGTTAGCTTTTAAACTTTGTTTTATGTTCTTGCAGTTACTGACATTATAGTCAGTTATTTCCATCAAATAACCAACTGACCTAAATTTACAAATGTCAAATTTTAGAAGTATATTCAATAATACTGCTGTGTGACTCGAATAAACCTGGTTTGTTGGAATTTTTTAGAAGTGTGACCACAGTTCCAGTTCTCTACCTGTCTTTTCCTGGCCAACCTTGTGTATCTCCTTGGCTTTCAGAAAGATACAAAAATAATATATCTATGAACCCGCAACAATTAATTTTACTTGAATGTTATATATTACATTCCACCCTGTTTGAAAATAATGAAACCATGTACCACTGTTTACATCACTGTAATAATTTTACAAACGTATTTAATGTAACCGATTGTTTCAAGTCTGTAGATCTTCAGAGTCACATGCAAGGCAGTTGTTTCACTGAGTGTAGATCACTGTAATTCAGAGATTTGTAAGTGAAAAAAAAATTAGAAACTAGTTTTGATGAATCTTTTTCCCCTCCCTAACAATGTGCCCAGGCTGAATTTCCTCATAAAGAAAAACTCGTGTGCCTTGTGTCTTGCGTTTCTCTTTTCTCTGAAAGGATTAATGGATCTGAAGCTCTGAGCCTCCCCTGATACCACTAGCATCTTCTCATTTAGATTTGCTGTCAAATCACTGGAAGCGAAATGGCTTCCCCATGACGTTCTGGCCTTGGTTGTATTTCATTACCATCCATACTTTTCTTTAAAAAGTGGTTAAAAGTCTGAAATCCAACGCTGATCTCGATAAGGTGCTTAGCGTGTACTCTCAATAAAAAGCTAACATTTTTGAGACCTGCCAGACCACCCCACTACTCTCAGTCCTGACCCCAGCTAATTTGTAGCTCCACTGCAAAATGTTCACCATAAAGTGAGACTTTAATGACTGCTAGGAAGATTGGCAAACTCACCAAAATTTTACACACTCCAGGAAGATATAACCAAAGCACAGTTATTAAAGGCATAATGATCATAGAAGTGTGTCTTTTAAAACTTACGTGTCGAAGCTTCAGACTCTTAATGCTTTTCTATAGAAGTATTAACTGTATAATCATGTTTTATAAAAACAAAAAAAGAACAAATGAACCAAGATTAGCAATCTTCTCTGATCTCTTAGGAGTATCTTTTCTGGAGGAAAAAAAAAATCCTGATAAAGTGCAATAAGCTTGTAATGGTAAATAGTTATTAATATTTCTATTGACATGATATAAAGAACTACAATGTAAGTATTTACAGACTGGCAGTTTTATTTCAGTATTAACACGATGTCTTGCCAGTGTTGGGGTCAATGTGTTATTTCAGTTCAACTGGATGAAATGTCAAATAAACTCAAAATGAAAATAAATTCTCTCTTTTATTTGTATATAAAAGACAAAGCAGTTTATATGTTACATTCGATGGTACCTTCCATCTAAACTTAATTTGCTGTACCATCAGTAACTACTAATGAAAAAATATTTTTGTGTCATCCTTTTAGCGAGAAATAGATTTCTATTTGGGGGCTACCAGTCTTCCACCTTCTTGAACCTCATCTATAATAGCCTCTCCCCACTCTGCACCCCCACCCAGAGGGATATAGTCTACGATTCCCCATGGACACCGGAAACTTCAGTCAGTGCTAAGCCCTTTATAGACTTTTTTCTACTTATACACCTATGATATAGTTTATAAATTGGGTTTGGTAAAATGTTAAAAAAAAAACTAGTAAAATAGAGTGATTTTAACACTACAGTATAGTAAAAGTGATTTAAAACTTACTATCTGTTTATATCTGGTAATATATTTTAAACTGTGATGGAAACATGGGTAACTGAAACTGGAAAAGTAAAACCACAGATAAGGGACTAGGATACATGCATTCCTCAGCCTCCTGACCACATAGTGCCAAGGACATTAATTGTGCAGATAAGGAGAGATGAGTTTCTACTTCAGAACCTGATGACAAACACCATGGCACAGGATAGTGAAATAAATTCGCTTGTCAGATTCTAACATGGAACTAACATTTGCTGTACCGAACAAAGAAAGTCTAGATTAAGATAGGGGTGCTTTATTAACAGACTTAATAAAGGGCTGAGCATTTTTGAACCTCAGTCACATTTCTGCATACGTTTTGCTATTGGAACTGTCTCACAAATTATTTTAATATATTCAAGAGCATAGATCGAGGAGTCAGCTGGATCCAATCATTACAGCATGCTTTGGGGATGATGACATGCTCTGTGAGTTAGCTTCCATCATTATTTCAAATATCAGATAATCAAAAGAGAAGAGTGTTGTGTTTATGGTTTCAGAGGTCCCAGTCCATGGTCAAGTAGCTTCACAGTTTTCAAGTCTTTGATGGGATGCTGGGGGACCACGGAAGGGAGCACATGGCAAAACAAAACCATTTACCTCGAGACCAAGAAGAAAGAAAGGGAAACTGGCCCACAGTCTCTCAAGGATATGCCCCTAGGGACTAAGCCGTAGCCCTTTATATCTAAGGGGAACATTCCAGATCAAACTACAGCACTGTGAATTTCAGGGACTTTTTTTTTTTCCTTTATGTGTGAGTTTGCTTGTTTTGATTGTTTGCAGAAAGTAACTGAATCTACCTCATAGAGAGTTTGTAAAGATTAAAAATAATCCTATACAGCAGTTAGCATATTCTCAACCTAGGAAACACCCAGTGACTAGTTTCCTGCCAGATACTTTAGAGGCACTGGATATGCACTCAAAAGGCCAGTATGTCATTGTTAATGTAAGATTTCAGAACTCTGGCAACTTTCTCAGGGGTAACCCACAATTTAACTAGAAAATAGTAGGCTAACATGGTCTAAAGCAAACGTTTGAAGACTTTGTCTAATTTACACAGAGGTAGAAATCATCTCCACATAGAGATGAGGAAGCTGCAGTTTCCAGTAAGTATATACACGCTCGAGGCTGCAATGGTCACTGGAAAACTGTGCTGGAGGCCCAGATATGGCACCCAACCAGTGGCCCTGCCTAAAAATGCTCCTTGTTAATACACTTAGTTTTTTCTGTGTATTCAGAATTATACTGAAAGCTGAAGAAAGAAAGGTTATGTCTAGCAATGATTAAGGCCTGACCTGTGATCTGTAGACCAATGCCATCCAAGCTTGTTAGGAATACAAATTCTTAAGCCAGATCCTGGTCTACTTAGTCAGGAGCATCAGGAAATAAGAGCCCTAGGTGATCCCTGTACACGTATAGCTTTGAAGTTCTGGCAAAAGCCACATTTCTGGTGTTCCTAGAGGTTTGAAATCTTCTCTGGTCAATTTAGGTCATCGTATGACTTTATATGAATAGAAGCATTTACCAGGTTTCAAGAAAGCATCAGAAATCAATGATGACATCCTTGGGGACAGACAACCAACAAGCTTACAAGGGTAAGGATTTCTGTTTTGTCTCTTGCCATTCATCCAACATCTTCAGTTACCTAGAATAACTGGTACCAGCCCAGAGTCACTGAGTTCAGCCTGGGCTCTTCCCAGGTATCTACAAAGTCTCTTCAAGTTTTCCCCAAATGTGTCAAAGAATCCATTCTGTGTCACAGAGAAGTCACCAACATATGGAAAGGGAAGGAAACGGTGTCCCTGGGAATCTGAAAGAAGGCTGTGGGCAGCCAAGGTGCAACCATTGTTCCAGAACTGCCCTTTCTACAGGGAGGGCACCACTGCCTCCAAGCTTCTGGAGCAGACGAGAACAGAAGCGACACTCACATGGCCTTGTTTGGTCCTCACAGAACCCATAATGCCCCATTTCTATAGAGAAGTTGATGCTCAGAGAAGTGGATTGAATGTCTAACATCACGCAGCACCTGAGCCACCCACTCAGTCCACATCTGCCCAACTCCACAATGGGGCACATTGTACAGGGTACCTTGATCAGGAGGTGGCAGGCAGAACAGAGAACAAAAGAGAACAGAGCTTCCTCTGCACCTCACAACTTCCCCATCAATGGGAATGCAGCTCACTTTGGTACAGCATTTTACAATCTCCTAAGTATGGTCTATTAAATTAATCCTACTAAATCCTTTATTTTTTTCTAATTTTCCAGCTTTACATTTTTTCTGAACTCAGAACATATTAATTGCTACTTAAAAAAAAAACCTGTGTACATAATAATCTCCATTTTATAGTAAATGAATGGAAACATACAAATGACAGGTTTTACAAGAATATGCATCAACATGATTAGCAGCAGGTGTCTCTGGGATTATAGGTAATCTTTACTTTCTTCACAGTTTGCTGGTTCTCAGATTTTCCAGGATGCACCTCCATTCGTCTTACAAAACCATCAAGTTCAAGCCATCTTGAGACATCATAGCTTGAGGCTGCTCCATGTCCCCAGTCTCCCAGAGGCGTGGGCTGTGATCTCGGGGCCAGCTGGATGTGGACATTTCTGGACCCTTAACTTCCCCACTCTAAAGCCCTAGGGTTACTGCGGATACTGAACCAATCGTAGCCCCTCCTCTAGCCTGCACAACCCACTGGAAATGACAGCTTGTGGCTTCCCGGCTCCTGGCCAGACCCTAGGCGCAGCACGCAGAGGCGACGCCAGGGTGCAGCATTGCCTGCGAGATAGCGCGGCTGGAGCCAAGCGCTTCCCGCAGCTGCCGGCAGGTGGCCCGAGGCAGCGGACAGCCCCCAACAAATGGGGATCTCCCGATTTCCTGG